CTCAGAGCAACTTCCAAGTAATTTCAGTGCCTTACTGATTGTAACAACTCACTTTTAAGATGATGTTATGTGGTTTTAATTTAAGGAACTTTCACATTATTATGACTTGGTGAATTTTCTGTATACTATCTTATGAATATAGGAAGCCCTACAAGATGTGTTTTGAACCCAGAAATAAACAAATAAGCAGATTTATTCTACTTATTCTAAATCACGGGACAGTTGGAGGTCTGGGCTACAAAATTAGCAGGCATCAAGATCCATCGGTGGTTTAGCAAAGATATGATGGGGAGGGGGGTATGAGAGAGGCATATAAAATGCATTCCATTCAGAAAGTGACTAGAAAGGGTTTTTTTTTCCTCCTCTCATTGAACTTGATATGGGCCCTTCAGTTGATAGGAAATTTAGAGCAGATTAAAGCAATGCTTCCTCATGGATTTTGCTATTTCTAGATCAGTGTTTCCTAAATTTGAGCCTAGAACCCCTAGAGGCCCCCGGAGATACTCTCAGGGAGCTCTGAAATCAGAATTATTGCCAGCCTATATTGAAAAATACAGTATTAAAATACCATCAAACAATGGTGAGAAGTTGTAGCTGTGAACATGTCAATTTTAATGTCTTAATACAATAAATATCAATAAATATAATCCACTCCTCTAAACGTAACCTCCTCCATCATCCACTTCTAAAAGGATTAAGAGGCAGATTCATAAAAGTTAAGAACCAACTGTTACTAGCCTTAATAGTTTTACGTGATGGCCCCAGCATAGCAGTTGGTGCAATAAGGAAAGAGAAGGGCATTATGGGACTCAGGTGGTTTCACTTACAAGCTTCCCAAGGGCATCTCATTATCAGCTCTGTTGGTTTGACCTGAGCCAGCATGGCTGTTTCTTCTAATCCGAGGCCACCTGGAGCTAGCTCAGCACTTATCATAGTACTTGAGAGATAGTCCAGTAATGTGGTTAAATCTACTAACATTTACTGTTACTGTTATTTATCATGACATTCATACTGTATTTCTGGAGATTGGCATTCACAGGACCAATCCCAAAAGGATTTATTCTGACTGTCCTGAAACAATTTCTTGGAGAGGGTTTTGTCTGTATATTGTCATATAGAGAACCCTGTAATGTCAAACCAGATTGTCTCTGAGGCCAGGAGTTTCAAAATAGCCCTTTATCATACACCCAGTCCTATTTTTAAGCCCTTGGTTGCTTTGTTGTGGTTGAGCACACAGACTGGAGAAATGCTAGATCTTTTGTCCTTCTACTCTCTCTCTCTCTCTCTCTCTCTCTCTCTCTCTCTCTCTCTCTCTCTCTCTCTCTCTCTCTCTCTCCCTCCCTCCCTCCCTCCCTCCCCTCCTCCCTCCCTCTCCCTCTCTCTTTCATTCTCTCTATTTTTCTTCACTCTCTGCCCTGATATTATAGGATATTTCCAAAAGGAATAGAATAATAACTTTATTGTCACTTTGAATGTATACTAATCGGCATACATTAAAATGAAATTTTGTTGCATACAGCTCTCAAAGGGTCATTACCTGTGATATACACTATATAAATATGAAATAAATAAATAAATAAATACAGAATTATGCATATACCCACATATATTATATGACACAGAGAAACAACAGTCTAGTTCAGGTTATGTATACATGTGCATGGCGAGAAAAACGAATCTTGCGAGTTTACCAGACGGATGGCGTAGGGAAGAAAGCTATTACAGAATCAGGTAGTCCTGCTAGAAATACTTAGAAACCTCCTCCCAGAGGGGAGCAACTGAAGCAGACCGTAAAGTGGGTGTGTGGGGTCTCTAACAATGCTTTGAGCTCTAAGCACATAGCGCTTATAAGCAGCATCCTGAATACCAGGGAGCGAGCTTCCTATGATCTTCTTGGCTGTCCTTACCATTCTCTGTATGGACTTTCTATCTGAGGCACTGCTGCCACCAAACCAGACCAAAAAAAGCTTTTGAACAATACTTTGTGCACACTACACACATACACCCCAAATTCAGGATGACTGCCAAGACCATCACTACTTTGAGTAAATTGGTAATATTTTCCTATTTATATATTGATCAGGTGGAAGCAGACAGGCACCCAGACAGACCGACGGCATCAATCTCTGAAGTAGCATCAGTTTTCCTAACAGCAAGCACTACTACATGAAGACTGAGCCTCTTAAGGGGCTGTTCTGTAGCAGTTCAGATCTTTCTCCCTCTTGCTAGCCATATTGCAGTTGACAAGCGGTTTTCTCATCTCCTACAGCACAACACTGGCCGATGCCCCACCCTTTTTGGTAGGCATGCTTGGCTGGGGCCACTGGAAGAAAAAATCACTAAGCATTAGCAAGCAATCAAATATATGAAAGACGACCACTTAGCAGCTCTTCCAGTGACTTCCATTAAGCTGTAAAGAAATAGTGAAGAAAAAAAGCTACCATTTCTTGATTCCATGCCAAAACCTGCATCAATCTCTGCAAATGTTTTTCTCTCTCTTAAGGGCCTCTCCCCAGCATTTACTTGTATTCAGTTTATCTGTAAATTGAATTCAAGGGAGGGAGGGAAGGAGGGAGGGGGGGGGGAGAGAGAGAGAGAGAATTTTGAAAAAAGAATAAATATCCAGCATTGCCTTGCATCTAAGGGCTATGCTTTATAAATAAGGTTGTTGTGAGATCCATCTGTGAGATGGTGGTAGAGTTAGCCATGCTCTGTACATAACTCCAATGGGATATATAAAAGTATTAGGACAAAGATGGGCTGAGACAACCACCAGGAATCTTTGCAATATATAAACTCTTTTTTTTCCAGGCCATTTTGGTAAAGCTGAAACTGTATGCATATAATTGTTCCTTTCTGTATATCTATCATCTATGCATTTATATTAGTCTTCCCCCAATCTGGCGCCTCTTATAATTCCCCAGATAGCATGGTCAGCAGAGGGATTATGGAAGTTGAACTGCAATACATCTGGAGGACCTCAGTGTAAAGCTGATATATCTATAAACAGGTCACTTGATTTTTGTCATTGAGTTATGATAGATATCTGGAGCCAGATGCCATCTTATCTAAGTAGAGATGTGTGCATATAGGAAACACACTTGCAATCATAAATTGGAAATCTTTTTTTTGGGGGGGGGGTGTTCTCATTGCTAACCAGAATCATCAATTTCTTCTGCATTGGTATTTATACATGGATGGTAGCTGGGAAAAGAAGGATCTCAAGCAAGGAGGAAATGTATCTTTGGATCTATTGTCCACAATTTAACTTCATAATGCTTGCTTTCAGCTACGGAAAATTACCATTCCTTTCTCATCAGGGAGGCATAAATAGATCAGTATTACTTCTGGAGCAAGGAGGATAGTAAGGAATGGTTGAGCTGCACGCAAGAACGAGACTGTCTTAATAATCAACCTTCCCCCATCTACCTGCAGATCCAAACAATTCTATAGACTGTTCCTCTTCAAGATACATTTGGAGTAAAAACTTGTCCTACTTGTATAAATAGCTGTTCTAGGCATAGTTTGTAGAACAGAGTGAAGTGACCTGGTTCATCCAAGTCATAAAAGCGTGCTTTGCAAATTATATCTGTATTCACATACCATATTAGATCAAAACCAAACAACCGTATTGTGACTGCTACCTATATACCTGGTTGGTAGGTAAATATGTGTTGGTGGATCAATACAATACCACGTGTATCTACTTAAATAAATACGGCCTCCATGATTGTTCACCCTGCAGTTGGCTTCACCACTCTGTATTTTTTAATGTACATGGATTATAATATTTCACAGATCAGATACAGATATGTGTTTCCATTAGTTTTATCCTGCCTAATGGCTAAATAAGTCATGTTTGTTTATGTGATGCTTCCCTTCATCACCGTTATCATTATTCTCCAGGTGCTCTGAGACAGGAGTATCAAGGGATGTTGCATAAAAGCCAACCCCTTCTTACTAACCTTCGACTGAACCCTGGTAAGACTGAATGGCTTTGGGTTTGCAGGGCTCCGGAATCCAGGACTTTGTCATCTTTGACCTCTGGATGGGGTGGCACTGCCCCAGAAAGACTCGGTGCACAACTTGGGGGTTCTCCTGGACTCGTGACTCCTGTTCAAAGAACAGGTGGTAGTCACAGCTAGGAGAGCTTTTGCACAAATTCGTGTTGTGCACCAGTTGCGGCCTTTCCTGGACCAGGATTCCCTGCGCTCAGTCGTTCAGTCCCTAGTCATCTCACGGCTGGACTGTTGTAATGCACTCTTCATGGGGCTACCCTTGAAGAGCATTTGGAAGCTACAGCTGGTGTATGGTAGCATGGGTAGTTTTGGAGGGCCTGAGAATGGTCCCTGTAACACCATTGCTCCGTAAGTTGCACTGGTTACCAGTCTGCTTCTGGATGCAATTCAAGGTTTTAGTGATCACCTGTAAAGCCCTTCATGGTATGGGTCCAGGTTACTTGAAGGACCACCTCACCACACTCGGATTGGCCTGTATCATTCATGCCGGCAGAGGAAGCATGCTGTGGGTCCTGTCAGCCCAAGTATTCTGGCTGGCGGGGTTTAGGAGGAGGGCTTTCTCTGCTGTTGCTCCTGCCCTCTGGAACATCTTCTCCCCCCCCCCCATGTGAGGTTGGCCCCAACCCTCCTTTCCTAAGGGCCTAAAGATGTGGCTGTGCCAGTCGGCTTAGGGCCCCAGTGGGGGATCAGCGCACTGGAGGTGGTTGAGTGAGTAATAACAGATCCCATCTTCCCCTCCACTCCGCCCCCACCCTCCCCACATGTCCTTGGTTTTAATGTCTGATTTTAACTTTTTAATGTTTTAACTAAGATGTAACTGTAAGCCACCCCAGAGTTACCCTCTGGTAAGATGGATGGCCAATAAATTTTATAAATAAGTAAAATACTAATCGCCCTTACCCCTCCAATGTAATGGGGCTGCTTTACAAGCAAGGTACCCTATGGGACTTTTTATTTTTATTTTTCTCTGTGCATCTGCAGATTTGCCGACTTCAACACCTCCTAGGACCAGGGTGTTGATTTTCCTTAGAAGCAAATCCATGCATTCCTACACTGTGGCATCACCAGATAGGATGAGTGGCTCAGATAACGGACTGGATGAAGCAGAACTCAGCATTACACTCACTCTCCGGATGCTTATGCATGGAAAGGTAAGTACATTGGGACTGCCATATTAGGCCTTAGCCTTGGTCTCTGCATAGTCAGTAACAAGTCTTGCATGGGGCAGAATGTTCATTTGAGCTGCAGGGAACTGTTATTTTGCAAATCCCATTATTGAAGCCTGGCGTGCTACAGTGCAGGAGTTTAAAATATCCTCTCCAACCTATCATATGTTTTTCAATACTCTGCAGAGGCACTTGAGGTGCAGTTGTGAATTAATTACAGTTATAGCAAACTAGGGGGTACCTTGCTCAATAGTAGTAACTGTGAGAGGGATCTCGGAGTCCTAGTGGACAATCACTTAGATATGAGCCAGCAGTGTGCTGCAGCTGCCAAAAAAGCCAACACAGTGCTAGGCTGCATTAACAGAGGGATAGAATCAAGATCACGTGAAGTATTAATACCACTTTACAATGCCTTGGTAAGGCCACACTTGGAATACTGCATCCAGTTTTGATCACCACGATGTAAAAAAGATGCTGAGAGTCTGGAAAGAGTACAGAGAAGAGCAACAAAGATGATTAGGGGACTGGAGGCTAAAACATATAAGGAACGGTTGCTGGAATTGGGTATGTCTAGTTTAACGAAGAGAAGGATGAGGAGGGACATGATAGCAGTGTTCCAATATCTCAGGGGCTGCCCCAAAGAAGAGGGAGTCAAGCTATTCTCCAAGGCGCCTGAAGGCAGGACGAGAAGCAACGGATGGAAACTGATCAAGGAGAGAAGCAACTTAGAACTAAGGAGAAACTTCCTGACAGTTAGAACAATTAACCAGTGGAACAACCTGCCTCCAGAACTGGTGAATGCTCCAACACTGGAAGTTTTTAAGAAGAGACTGGACAGCCGTTTGTCTGAAATGATGTAGGGTTCCTGCCTGGGCAGGGGGTTGGACTCGATGACCTCCAAGGTCCCTTCCAACTTTATTATTATTATTATTATTATTATTATTATTATTATTATTATTATTATTATTATTATTATTATTATTATTATTATTATTATTATTATTATTATTATTAAATTGCCAAGGTGATCAGATTAATACAAATTCAACATTAAGGTTTTTTTTAAAAAAAAGATCTAATAATGAAGACAAAGAAAAAGAATGATCACGAAAGGGAGAATAACCCTTTCATTTAATCTGTCAAATCATGAATGACCTTTACTTTCTTTTTTGAGAAGGTGTGCGATTGCTTCCTCATTTTCCGGCTAAAAGGACATATATCTTCAGGCATTGATAGACTCTTACAGGTTTGGATATCTCTTCTAACCCCATTTCTCTTGTCTCTGCAGGAAGTTGGCAGTATCATAGGCAAGGTAAGATCAATGCAGGTCATTCTGTGTGCTTCCAAAATCCCTTTGCTCCACATTCTAAGACTAATTGCCTTTATTGTCCTTAATCCTACAGAAAGGAGAGACTGTGAAGAAGATACGAGAACAGGTAGGTATCATGGGGGGAAATAGCCCAAATACAGGTGATATGCTATTCCAGTGTTTCTCAACCTCAGCAACTTTAAAATGTATGGACTTCAACTCCCAGAATTCCCCAGCCAGCCCATCTGGGAATTGAAGTCCACATATCTTAAAAGTTGCTGAGGATGAGAAGCAGCTATCTATTCTATAGTTCTGGCTGAATGAATTCCTAACAAATGTGAAAATCTATTGGGAGAAAGTAGGATGAGGATCAAGAGGAATGTGCTAGAAAATATGGAGAGACAGAAAGCAGGATCAACCTACACAACTATTGTGGTCACTATTTTTCTGAATAGAATTCATAATTATTTTAAAAGTAGATTCTGAAATAACGAATACACTTCCCTCTAGCTCAGGGGTAGGCAACCTTGGCTCTTTTATGACTCGTGGACTTCAACTCCCAGAATTCCTGAGCCAGCCATGCTGGCTCAGGAATTCTGGGAGTTGAAGTCCACGAGTCATAAAAGAGCCAAGGTTGCCTACCCCTGCTCTAGCTCCTCAGTGTCATTGAATAAACTTAAACATTACTGATGACATCAGTATTTCTATCCTCAGAGATGCTTTAATACTATACTGCATGAACCTGCCCAATGATGGTGCTCTTTCCTTTCAGAATTTTTCTGAAGCTTTGCATCCTGTCTTTATTGGCAGTTAACTGCTGCTGTTGGATTTGCCAGGTTTATTTCAGTATGAATCTAGGTTAAGCTCACAGTGCAAAAGATGTAATGATAAAAGGGACTGGAAAATAGAAATGAAACAGAATTTATTATCTGTTTAAATATATTACTACATTCTATGATGCAATAATAATAAGAGGACACTACAGGTATGAAGACCATTAACTTTTGAATTTATCCTCTCTGGAAATGAGAGGATTTGATTCTCATGTAGCAGATTTACTTTTTATTCTGTTCAGTTGTGTCCAATTTTTAGGGACTTCCTGGACAAGTCCCCGCAGTTTTCCCAGCAAGTTTTTTCAGAAGTGGTTTGCAATTGCCTCCTTCCCAGGTCTGAGAGAAAGCAAGTGGCCCAAGGTCACTTTGTGCCCAAGGCGAGACGAGAATTCAGTCTCATGGTTTCTAGCCTGATGTCTTAACTACTTTACCAAACTGCTTTTTTAGCAGATACCTCTCAGACAAATGCAGGGATGAGAAAAAGAGATGTGAGGCATGAAGTCCTTGCTTCTAATTTAAATTCAGACTAGTCTCCCCAAACAGACAGGGGCTATCTCGTCTGTTTCTCAGCCACATCTGCAATATGCAGATAGCGGCCAGCCATTTGACAGACTGTTGGGATGTTTATGAAACATTTTGTGCACTTGGTTAAAGCCTTCTATAAACAATTAGAAAACTTAAAATGTATTTACACGGTTACTTCTGGTTTGCTGTGTCTTTAGAGTACTGCCCGGATTACCATTTCAGAAGGATCCTGCCCTGAGCGGATCACCACCATTACAGGTTCTACTGATGCTGTTTTCAGAGCTGTTTCCATGATTGCCTTCAAGCTGGAGGAGGTGAAGTAGCCCCAGTCTCTATCTGTTGCATGTTGCTCCCAAAGCATGTCTTACTTGTTCACATTAAGTGTATTGTAGCACTAAAAAAAAAAATCTATCAGTTTTCCATTAAAGGTAGAAGCTTTATAAATGATGACTAGTTATTTAGAGCTTACAATGGCTATTGCGTCTATGGTCAAAATTGTGAGATTTCATACAGTTCCTGCCAAAAGAAAGAAGACAGTGATGCAATTTATTTTTGAGAAAATTGATTTTGTGGTGTTTGAAACAGGAAAGTTCTTGATAATTTTCTGTCTTCTTGTTAAAGCTTAAACAGTCATTTGTTGTAATGTACTTCTCTTGGTATATAGTTTAAGTTTCCCTAGGAATTCAAAACGATAATTTAAAGCCAGTGGTGGTGATGTCACTGTATTTATATCTCACCAAATTACATCTGTGATTTTTTAAAAAATCAAGACAGAATATTATTAGGATGACAGCATGTACAAAAAAAACCTGGATATCATAAAATAGTGGTTCTTAGAAGAAAAGATCTAGATTTTTAGGATGATTTTTTATAACCTATAATGGAGGTTCTAACACAAAATGTTGCATACTAATAATAACTAAATGTGGCTTTGAAAGGATCCCCTTGCACTTGAATTGAATACAAATTCTTTTATTTCAGGATTTGGGAAATGGAGCAACCAACGGAGGCACCATCTCCAAACCACCCGTAACACTGAGGCTAGTCATCCCAGCTAGCCAGTGTGGCTCACTCATTGGCAAAGCCGGAGCCAAAATAAAGGAAATCCGAGAGGTAGAGCCTTCAATTGTCCTATCTTGTTCACTTGAGCATTACTGTTACTTTCTTACTTTTTTATTTTTTGTGCCTTAACTTTTTTTCCTTTCTAGTTTCATTGTTATTGATCTTATACTCCCAGAGCGAATGGCTTAAATCTCAGAAGCTGCTATTTCTTGCACGCTTCTTTGTTGTTAAATAAAAACTAAAATTAAATTTACAACTTTTTTTCATTTGCATTTCTTTGCGAAAGTCAAATGAAATATTTTGTTTGCATGAGGAGTCATATCTATGTAGGGGAAGAGGTATCACAGGAAACATTTAGATCTCCGAATAAATTAGCCCCTTCAAGAATGCTATAATAATCTCATGGGATTACAAAGTGTTCCTGACCCAGCTCCATGTAAGTGGAGGCTGCTCAGAAAAACAGAGCATTTGTTCATTCCAGACAACAGGTGCTCAGGTCCAGGTGGCTGGAGACCTCCTACCCAATTCCACTGAAAGGGCTGTCACAGTCTCTGGAGTACCAGATGCCATCATCCAGTGCGTGCGACAGATCTGTGCAGTTATACTGGAGGTACAGCTTTTGTTTACTCTCGTGTGTCGTGTCTGCTCCTTCGTATCAAAGTGGAGAAGTGGTACTTTGGGGCTTTGAGTTCAGACGTGCTCCTTGGGTACTTCAAAACTTGAATCCGCTTGGGATGCCATTATGATTCCCCCCCCCCCCCGTTTGGCCACTGTGTGAATACCAAAAAAACCTCAGCCCTATTGCAGATATAATTTTAAACTAACAGCGGCGGCAGCAGTGCATGTATGTTGGGAGCTGCTGAGAGTTGGTTGTTAGATGAGCAGCTATATAAATATAGAGAGGGAGGGAGGGAGGGAGGAAGGAAGGAAGGAAGGAAGGAAGGAAGGAAGGAAGGAAGGAAGCACACCTACTTATGCACATGCACTTTGTTATTTGCAAACATTTTTTACTATTAATAATCTGCTGTCTAGCTGCTTTTCTATTCTAAGGAGAAAAGATGAAGGTAACTTTATCCCTTTCCATTGGGGTAAAGTTTTGATTGATTAGATGCTCTATAAAGAAAGATTTACATATACCTCTAGCACATTACTGTTAATTCCTATTTGCAGCAGCCAGACCTATTTCTTAGGAAAGCAAGCAAGCAAGCAAAAAAGACATTTATGTAACTGTTGAGTCAGACATTTAAATGAGAAGTATCAAGTACTCTCCTCTAGATAACTGTGCTTTAGGATTTCAGGCAGGAATCTTTCTCGGCACCATCTGACCTTTCTGAGTTGTGCTCCTTGGCCTGGAAGACTTCTCACACCTTAATTGCAGAGGGAAGATGATTCCCATAGCAGAAATCTTGGGATAGTTTTGATTCATCAAAATCTGCAATTTGCTGGGCAGCCATGTCAAAGATAGATTTCCTTCACAAAGGATATAGCATAAGTAGCATCTTTTCTTACTCTCTAGTATTCTCTTCCGTTAATAGGGGCAAGAGACTAAACATGATCAAAGGTGATCTTTTACTTTTCATATCCTGCCCATATCTGAAATTACTCAGCATAAACTAAATGGGAGTGAGCTAAAAATATCCCCTCTTGGTGTAATGCCAGAATGCCTGTTGTGTGACAGAAGGCAGTGCCTGTTGGCATTAGAATGCAGCTTGGGGTACACAAAGATAGAATTTTGCAGTGATACTTCCTTCTGATTTCCTTCAGTCACCCCCAAAAGGTGCCACGATTCCCTACCATCCCAGCTTGTCCTTGGGACCGGTTCTTCTGTCAGCCAATCAGGTAAGAGACCTTTAAATAAACTATCAGTAGATTGTTTTGCTAAGACATAAAGAGGCTTTGGGGTCCCCTGTTATGATAGCATTAGTGGGAAGAGGATTGAAAGATGGGAATGGGATGGGCCAGCAGGAAGACACTGGGAACGAAAGGCAGGAGGGTGAGAAAGTACTAAGAAGAGAGTGAACAGGCCAGCAGGAATATGCTGGGAACATGGGGGCAGATCGGTAGGATTATTATCTGCAGCAGTGGCAAAATGCTGGAAAGGGGAACAAGGTATCCAAACCAGCTGCTGCCTGATGTAGATAATACTCCCAGCATAACTGGAATTTGGATTGCCATTTTTTTTGAGCGCAGTTGTGATACGCTGTTGGGAAGGGGAACTTGCCTATTTACAATATGTGTGCAATAGTGGAAGCGGCCGGCTATAAAACATTTCCTGGTGGGCAAATTGGCAAGATTGCTATCTTCTCCTAGTGTTAACCCCAAGAATGCCCTCTACCACTTTAAATTGTTCTCTTTTTTGCATCGGTGGGAACGCTTCCAAAGAAACCACTGGATACATTGTTATCTTCCGGGGCTGAGATATTTTCCTGTAAATGAAGAAGATGCTAGAAACTGGTTTGTCAGGCATGAAAAACAAGGTTCACACATGAAGATTCAATTAAGCTGATTTATTGCTAAGAGCCTATGTACAGAAATCTTCTCAACTAACGGTCAGCACCTGGTTAAAGTTAGATAAAGGTCAACAGCACTAAAAAAAACGGTTTGGAAGTTCGTTTGTGGCTACATAGGGATTCTAGACTGATCTTTTCACTCCATCCCCCAGTTCTGCCATTCCTTCTCCTACATCAGGGGTGTCAAACTGCTGGCCCACAGACCAGATGCATCATGCTAAAACCGCGCCCACCCCATTGTTGGCAATGGAAAAAAAGTCATGTCACGTGATGTTGCGAGTTTGACACTCCTGTCCTGCATGGTGCTTTATTTGTGGCATACCAACTTCCCATGTATTCCTGTATCATTAAAAGAATCTAATCAAAAAGGGTCCAGAGTTGATGAAGATACCTATGACCACACTTAATGTGTGATGGTAAGAGGGAGATGGGTGGCGTATACATTAAATAAATAAATGATAACACATTGTTTGCCTTGGAGACCACAAAAGGATTCTCTTTAATTTGAGCATCCTGATGACCCAGAAAGGAACCCCAGTAGCCCTCAGCAGTCACTGAAACAAAGGAGCTGACCATGCACTGAAAAATCATTTCTTGCTTCTGTATAAATCAGGACAAGCCATTCTTAGTAAGAGATTCTGACTAAAAGAGTGAGGTTTAAAGGGGTGGTTTCAGTATCTTCCAGAAAGAGAGAGATGGACTAAGTAAGTAAGTAAGTAAGTAAGTAAGTAAGTAAGTAAGTAAGTATAATAATAATAATAATAATAATAATAATAATAATAATAATAATAATAATAATAATAATAATAATAATAATAATAATAAAAGTTGGAAGGGACCTTGGAGGTCATCGAGTCCAACCCCCTGCTCAGGCAGGAACCCTACACCATTTCGGACAAATGGCTGTCCAGTCTCTTCTTAAAAACTTCCAGTGATTTTGAACTGCTTAGGCCGCGGGTAGGCAACCTTGGCTCTTTTATGACTCGTGGACTTCAATTCCCAGAATTCCTGAGCCAGCATGGCTGGCTCAGGAATTCTGGGAGTTGAAGTCCACGAGTCATAAAAGAGCCAAGGTTGCCTACCCCTGGCTTAGGCCTTTGTATGTCTTGGGCACTACTTAAAACTTTGCCTGGATATAGCTCAGCAACCTGAATAGTTGTTGTTGTTCACACAACCAGTTTATCAACTTTCCTATCTACATCAACTCCAAGTATAAAAAGAGAAATGGAAAGCCAAATGGCACCTTTATTTCTAAACTATAGGCATTATCCCAATAGTAAAATCATGTTCGATTAGTGTGAAAAGTCTAAATTGTGTTGTTTGTATTATATTTATCTGTTCATTTATTTTGTATGACCACCCAACTGACAAAAAGCAACTTTGGGCGGCATACAGCAATCGAATAAAACAACAAACATAAAAACAACAGATATAAAGATATAAAATTCTACATTAAAAGATAAATATTATAAAAACAAGTATACAGGCCCTAGGCAGAGAAAGGAGAAATATGGCCACCTCAGCAAAGAAGCCACAAAAGCATTCTCTGGTTCCCTGGGAGCCCCAGGACTGATTACATAACCAGGTCTTGAGGGAGTTCCAGAGTATCATAAGGGATGGAGCTAATCTAATGTTTGAGAGAAAGAATGTTTCATGAGGGGACCATGATGGGACCATGGCAGAGAAGGCAGGTCCCTCCATAGGTTCCTAATTGATGGTACCCCACAACATGTGCCATTTCTTCCTTATACTAGCATTGAAATCTTAGTACAATCTAACTGCTAATATAAGCCAAATAAAAGCAGAATGAGCCATAAAAGAGGAAGAAAAATGTTTTTCACCAAAGCTGCACAATAACAATTGACAATATAATCCAGTGCATGCCAATTTGGAAGTGTCATAATTTCAGTTTCTCCCAGACAGGATTGTCATATGAATCTATAAGTGCTTAGTGAGAAAAAAACAGAAATCAGTGTATTATACTAAGTCAATTTATAGGGATTTCAGTGAGAATTCACTATAATTTTGAACAAAATCCCATTGTTTTGTTTTTCTTACACTGTTCTACACCGATGATCATATTAACTTTAATTTGTTTTTTATACTGTAGTAGAATTGAGAAGCATTAACTCCTGTTTAAAAATTAAAACACATTTACTAGATGGCCAAAGATGTACAAGTTGATGCAAAAAAATTCTGAATGACTGAATAAATCAAATTACGACTGCATATAAATGCACAAACTAAAAACCCAACACATTAGATATGGAAATGGCCAGGGTTTTTTGTTTTTTGTTTGTAAATGAAAAGACTTGTTCCATTGCTCAGGCCATTCAGTCAAGCTTGTAAAAGAACATTTGTTTTGGCTACTCCTTACAAAATGTATTTTTTGTACTGGTATGCTGAATCTTATGTGATCAAGAGACAAAACTACACACATGTCCTTGCATCGTTGTAAAACTTATGGTAGAATTTCTGTAGTTCCTGAGTCCTTTGTTTTTTATAATGCTTACAATTAAGAAATCATTGAGCTTTCTAGGGCTGTGCAGTGCTTTAGATTCTGTTCCAAAAAGGCGCTTCAGTGGTTTAAATGCACACCTGCCTGCAACCATTTAAAGCAGCTAAGTCTTTCTCTAGCATGGAGAAAGGCTGAGTCTCTACCTAGCATCAGAGGCCAGCTCTGCTTTAACGAATGGCAGACAGGTGCAATGCTTGCTTGAACTCTGAAGTACCTTTTTAAAAATCAAATGGGAAATGTTGTCCAGTTCTTTAAGTTTCCAGGATATCTACTTTTGCTTTGTTGCTGTTGTGGTTTTTTTTCCCCTGCTGCAACTGCACCTGCCACTTTCCCCCCCTGCTTTTCTCTGTGATTTTTTTCTTACTTTAAGCCCTTTCAATAAATGAAGTTTACAAGGAAGCTCTAATATATTTTCAGAATACCTTTCTTCTTTGTATTTGTTTCCCCCTTTTGTAGGGATTTTCCATGCAAGGACAATATAGTGGAATATCTCAAGCTGAGGTGAGTCCAACTTGCAATCTGTATTTAAACTCCAGGTCTTCTCCTCTGTTGTCCTCACATCTTGTTGTTGGTCTCTGGACTTGATCATCCTATGCTTCTTTTCTTGAAAATATTATGGAAGAATCTTTCCAACCAGGTGCTTCAAGCATATTAGTAGTATCTGGAGATCACAGATCAATCTTGGGGGCCTTTTATTGAGGTCAGCTGTTAAGGGCTGTGGCAGAATTTACAAAAACAGACAAAAGCATTTAGAATGACTTAATTTTAACCACTCAATGATTCTTGGCCTTCAGGAAAGCCCATCTCTGTATCCTTAGTGGTAACTCTGTTTAAGTGGATGGAGGCAATCCCACGGCTACAGCCGAAACCTAATTTAAAATTGGCATGAACTATCGTGAAAAAGAGCCCCTGTTGTTATGAGATGGATAGCTCAATATTGCTTCTTAAAAGATATCTTTATAAAGCTACCCCAGACTTATTTGAAACAGTAATACAAACACAGTGGTCGATACAGTTTCATTGGTTCCTTTTGGAAGCAGTTTTTCCAGCCAGGAGAAAATCTTGAGCTTGGAGAGATCCTCCAAGATACTGTCAAGAACCACTAATGTAGAATTGACAATTATTTATATTAAGGGTTATCTGGTTTTGTTTTTTTCCTGTTGTTCAGGTGACAAAGTTGCAGCAGCTTTCGGGACACCCTGTCTCATTTTCATCCTTGGCACAAACTCCATCTATAGTTGCAGGTAAGAGAGTTGTGTGTAAGAGTTCTGTAAAATGACTAATCCCGGAATCCTCTGCATCACTATCTGCCCTGAGATTAGATAAGGCTATATAATTTCTGATAATCTCAGATCCTTAATTACAGTGTAAAGATTTGCGAGTATACTTCTTTTTGCAGAGAGAGGAGGCAGAAACATATTTATAAATAACCGTAATGAGTAGTAATTTTTCACCAAGAAATGTCACTTAGAACAATGTAACTTGAATAAATAACACATTACATTCCAAAGAAAAATATGTGACTTTTATTGAAATGTAAACAGTATTTTATTAGAGTTACAGATAAACCTATNCAGAGCATTTGTTCATTCCAGACAACAGGTGCTCAGGTCCAGGTGGCTGGAGACCTCCTACCCAATTCCACTGAAAGGGCTGTCACAGTCTCTGGAGTACCAGATGCCATCATCCAGTGCGTGCGACAGATCTGTGCAGTTATACTGGAGGTACAGCTTTTGTTTACTCTCGTGTGTCGTGTCTGCTCCTTCGTATCAATGTCTGCTCCTTCGTATCAAAGTGGAGAAGTGGTACTTTGGGGCTTTGAGTTCAGACGTGCTCCTTGGGTACTTCAAAACTTGAATCCGCTTGGGATGCCATTATGATTCCCCCCCCCCCCCGTTTGGCCACTGTGTGAATACCAAAAAAACCTCAGCCCTATTGCAGATATAATTTTAAACTAACAGCGGCGGCAGCAGTGCATGTATGTTGGGAGCTGCTGAGAGTTGGTTGTTAGATGAGCAGCTATATAAATATAGAGAGGGAGGGAGAGAGGGAGGGAGGGAGGAAGGAAGGAAGGAAGGAAGGAAGGAAGGAAGGAAGGAAGGAAGGAAGGAAGGAAGGAAGGAAGGAAAGGAAGCACACCTACTTATGCACATGCACTTTGTTATTTGCAAACATTTTTTACTATTAATAATCTGCTGTCTAGCTGCTTTTCTATTCTAAGGAGAAAAGATGAAGGTAACTTTATCCCTTTCCATTGGGGTAAAGTTTTGATTGATTAGATGCTCTATAAAGAAAGATTTACATATACCTCTAGCACATTACTGTTAATTCCTATTTGCAGCAGCCAGACCTATTTCTTAGGAAAGCAAGCAAGCAAGCAAAAAAGACATTTACGTAACTGTTGAGTCAGACATTTAAATGAGAAGTATCAAGCACTCTCCTCTAGATAACTGTGCTTTAGGATTTCAGGCAGGAATCTTTCTCGGCACCATCTGACCTTTCTGAGTTGTGCTCCTTTGCCTGGAAGACTTCTCACACCTTAATTGCAGAGGGAAGATGATTCCCATAGCAGAAATCTTGGGATAGTTTTGATTCATCAAAATCTGCAATTTGCTGGGCAGCCATGTCAAAGATAGATTTCCTTCACAAAGGATCTAGCACAAGTAGCATCTTTTCTTACTCTCTAGTATTCTCTTCCGTTAATAGGGGCAAGAGACTAAACATGATCAAAGGTGATCTTTTACTTTTCATATCCTGCCCATATCTGAAATTACTCAGCATAAACTAAATGGGAGTGAGCTAAAAATATCCCCTCTTGGTGTAATGCCAGAATGCCTGTTGTGTGACAGAAGGCAGTGCCTGTTGGCATTAGAATGCAGCTTGGGGTACACAAAGATAGAATTTTGCAGTGATACTTCCTTCTGATTTCCTTCAGTCACCCCCAAAAGGTGCCACGATCCCCTACCATCCCAGCTTGTCCTTGGGACCGGTTCTTCTGTCAGCCAATCAGGTAAGAGACCTTTAAATAAACTATCAGTAGATTGTTTTGCTAAGACATAAAGAGGCTTTGGGGTCCCCTGTTATGATAGCATTAGTGGGAAGAGGATTGAAAGATGGGAATGGGATGGGCCAGCAGGAAGACACTGGGAACGAAAGGCAGGAGGGTGAGAAAGTACTAAGAAGAGGGTGAACAGGCCAGCAGGAATATGCTGGGAACATGGGGGCAGATCGGTAGGATTATTAACTGCAGCAGTGGCAAAATGCTGGAAAAGGGAATGAGATATCCAAACCAGCTGCTGCCTGATGTAGATAATACTCCCAGCATAACTGGAATTTGGATTGCCATTTTTTTTTTTAGCGCAGTTGTGATACGCTATTGGGAGGGGGAGCTTGCCTATTTACAATATGTGTGCAGTGGTGGAAGCGGCCGGCTATAAAACATTTCCTGGTGGGCAAATTGGCAAGATTGCTAATTGTTAATCCCAAGAATGCCCTCTACCACTTTAAATTGTTCTCTTTTTTGCATCGGTGGGAACGCTTCCAAAGAAACCACTGGATACATTGTTATCTTCCGGGGCTGAGATATTTTCCTGTAAATGAAGAAGATGCTAGAAACTGGTTTGTCAGGCATGAAAAACAAGGTTCACACATGAAGGTTCAATTAAGCTGATTTATTGCTAAAAGCCTATGTACAGAAATCTTCTCAACTAACGGTCAGCACCTGGTTAAAGTTAGATAAAGGTCAACAGCACTAAAAAAAAAAGGTTTGGAAGTTCGTTTGTGGCTACATAGGGATTCTAGGCTGATCTTTTCACTCCATCCCCCAGTTCTGCCATTCCTTCTCCTACATCAGGGGTGTCAAACTGCTGGCCCACAGACCAGATGCATCATGCTAAAACCGCGCCCACCCCATTGTTGGCAATGGAAAAAAAGTCATGTCACGTGATGTTGCGAGTTTGACACTCCTGTCCTGCACGGTGCTTTATTTGTGGCATACAAATCTTCAAAGCGCTCCATGGCATCGGACCTGGTTACCTTCGAGACCGCCTCCTGCCACAGATTACCCCCCACCGACCTGTACGCTCTCACAGAGTGGGTCTCCTCAGGGTGCCGTCAGCCAGACAGTGCCGGCTGGCGACCCCAAGGGGGAGGGCCTTCTCCGTGGGAGCTCCCACCCTCTGGAACGAACTGCCCCCAG